AAAAATTTCATATCATGCGATAGCCAGTAAAATTATCTAATAGTAGAAGTAGAAAACTTTTATGTTTTCTACCCGGGTGTAAGAATGGATTTAATAAGAAATAAACATGATTTTTTTCACTTATTTTTCAGTTATTTCCCAACACAAGAAAAACCAGGTCGTTAAGGTATATTTTATTTGCATTGTATTATTAGTATTTGAGCTATTCTACAAAACGAATGTTTTATTAGTCTACGTCAATTAGTTTCGACGTAATTGTTGAACAAAGATACCCCTTCCCAGCGGTTTCCATAGCGCACGCGACATGCGAAAATGCACTGCCTGAAAGAATCACACAACCTGTTCCGATTACAAACTAGTAGTAGAATAGTGACGTAGACTAATAAATTTACATTCGTTTTGTAGAATAGCTCAAATACTAATAATACAATGCAAATAAACCATACCTTAACGACCTGGTTTTTCTTGTGTTGGAAAATAACTGAAAAAGAAGTGAAAAAAGTCATGTTTTTTTAAAATTAAATCCATTCTTACTCCCTTAAAATGTATGAAACTTGTGTCTGTTTTCTACTTCTACTAGTAGATAATTTTATTGGCTATCGCGTGATATAAAATATTTGCTTATTAATGTTAAGTTACCCACGTTTTCACTTGTTTTTTAAGGAAGAGGTGAAAACTAAAAATTAAAAACTTAAATCCTCGTAATTTTGCGAGAAATGGGTGAAGCCCCTTTGGTGACACTTTGGACCCCGACATCCAGAGGGCCCTGATTGATTTCCGGCTTGCCTTGACGGGCCAGGTAGGAGTGGAGTTGCAAGAGCAGACCCTATGCTCCAGGTTGGAAGTGTAAAATGTCATAACACCAGGGGCATGATCTTGCGTCCCGCAGTCTCACTTCTCGACAACCTTAGCCGTTCACACCAATGTTGCTGTCCTCACTGCCATCCAGTAGCTTATAATGGGCCGCCCCATTATAAACTACCGGATGGTGAGCGGCAAGTCTCTGTCTGCCGTTATTATCAAGATGAGACATTTGATGTGGCAGGCGTCCCGGAGTCTCATCAATATCCCGGCAACCAGTCCAGCAATTTCCTACCCATAGACCCGGTTTAGTTCCCACCTCTTTGCAATAGTCCTTACACTTAGCGGATGCTGTGTTTAGCTGAAAAGGATGCCTTGCAAAAGGATCGGCCTACGGGCCGTGATTATCCATAGGAGAGATACAATTAATAATTTTCACACAACTTATAACAAGTAATAAATAACTTTTTGCTTCCGTAGAGGAGACGTTGTTCTAAAAAAAGACTGCGGTGTGCATGCATAATTAGTCAATTTAATGCGACATGGATTCAGAATTTCAGTCAGTCAACAAAGTTATGGATTCGTTGAGACAGTTTGATAGGTTTGACCGCCAGTAGCAGCTAAATTCGCAAGTTCAGTGAGTCATCGTGAAACTTGGAAATTGACCCTGATATGCGCTGCCGTGGCCCGAGCTCGCTGGAGCACGGTAATCAGCGGATAGTGTAATGAGGGTCAGCGCTCGGCGTAACCCGGTCATCGGCTGCGCCGCGCCGGTCGGTGCTGTCCGCGCCGGCACACCACCGACTCAATCCCTCGACACCTGATTACAGGCGCTGTCTACACGCACGCGCACTGTTTGGTGATCAGCGCGACGCAATGTCATTATTACCACTTTACACTAGTGCTTCCAGTGTCTGGTTTATACATATAGTCAAGTCACTACATAATTTATTAAGCGCCAGAAAGAAGATTACTAATTTCAAGTGTAACATAAATACGCTTTTTCACCTAGAGCATTCGCCTGTTGTAATGTAACAATTCATGACTTGACGATCATTTTCATTTGCCTATAATGTAACATTAATTCAGATTCGATTGTTACAAGTTGTATCAAAATATACTCAACATCAAATATACCGCACCTTCCGCGACGCGAACTTTAACGATTTTCTTCTGACACAATCATAGTGCCCCAATAATATTGGTGTTATTTGAAAGCCCAATAAATATCCTTAAAGAAAAACACATTTAATTTCTTAATAAATGATTAACATATACCATAAATGTGACTTGAAAAAATACCTCACTTTGGGCCCACCTATGGGATCAATTAGACCATTTTTTATGGTTATAAAACCAAATAATGATTTCACGTGTTCTCTTTAACAGATGGATAGCGATTAATCCCAACTTAACAGCTTTAAAGCCATAAAAGTTGACTCAAGCGTAACTACCTATTTTTTGAAGAAGTGACTCTGGATCCTTCTAAAGACACATTTCTGGGGTAAAAACCTTTCCTTTAATGAAATGAAGGTTAGAACTAGGCTTTTAAATGGTGCCAATATTGGTGGGAAGTGGGGATGCATACGTTTGAAAATGCTTGTCGCGGGAGGTGCGATTTATTTGATGTCGAGTGTATTACACACGGCCCGCCTCAGTTTTGCACGGGAAGATAATTTAATAAGTATTTAACAAAAATCGTAAAAAATATAAGTTCTTAAATAGGTTCAGTGGTTTCGGAGCTTATTCAATATAAAATAAACATACAAAAAATAAACTGCGTTTAAAAAACCGACTTCAAAAATTAAACTACTCCAAAAAGTTTAAAGTAGAAGTACGCACTATAAAGTAGAAAAAAAATTACGTTATTTATTTAATTAGAACAACCATATGACCATGATTGATATTCTCGGAGTCGGTGCCAGTTTGCGAAATGCCAAGCTCAAAAAACGTACTTTACTGGACCACAAATCTTTCAAGTACATAATTGGTGAACATCGAATACTTAAAGATAACTAGACGACGTATTGGAGAAGTTTCGTGATGTTGAAAACATTCTACAGTGTGAGTCACGATAAAGTGCACATATGAAAATAGATAAAACTAGACCTATTTTTATCGACAAAAAAGAGGTCAAAAAATTTTTTGTTTTATTTTTTTATTTTTTATAGATTTTTTTTCCAATTAGTTACTTATTGTAAAGAAAACGTAATAACTTTTAAACTAAGATGTATATCCTGATAAAATTTAAATTTAACAATTTTGATAGATAGGAGAAAGAGATAAGAGATATTGGTGTCCGTGGTGCATATCTTCTCTAAAAGTTTACAAATTCGCTTTGCAATGGAGAAGTCGAACCTTAACTTCGGCTTCTGATTAATTTCGTTGCGGGTCAAATGACAGTTTAACTATCCTCTGGGATAAACTTGACCTTCACTGGTTGGGGTTTTATTGGCGGTCAAGCTGTAGATCCTGGCTACACAGGAGCGGGAACAGTCCCGTTTTTTGGTTGTGCAAATAAATATTGCTAAGTGCTGATAGATAATAAGGGTTTATTTTAGTCGCAGGAAGTCATAATATACGAGTATATACCTATACCTACACACACACATAATAGCCACAGTACACCAAAACAATAGGAAGTAACAGAAAAATATCTCACAATAGTTGGCGACGTTCAAGATTATTTAATCGGCAATGCATAGTGCATACTCATATTCAATGTGAAGCTTTCCCACGAACATGAAAGTCACCGTTTCCACGTACAGCTTATGCGGTAGGAAACCTTAGACTAATAAAACCTAAACTCCGATTTTTAATTCGACGGAATTTTGACATTTCAGAAGTGTTGTCAACATTGAAACATTCCCATTTTGAATGGAGAGCATTTTCACAAATTAAAAAATAATCCTTTCTTGAATTTAAGGTTTCACTTGAAAAACTAAGGCTTAAAAATGTACTGATCATTTCAAAATGGTTACTTGAATTTTTATTATCATATTTTGGAAGTTACAAAAAAAGTTGGGAAATTATTTTTCTATTACTGGACTCCCTGGCTAATAATCCATGGGTTACAAACCTTTTTTATGAAAATCCTTTTGTTAATAAAATCTTAGCTTCATAAAATAACCAATTTAACAAGATGCCAATTTTATAATCCAAGTTGATTATGACGACGATAAAGATTATTGATGATCAATACATATTTTCGTTTATGATAATATGTTGTTTTACTGTGTTGAAACACGTTTTTTTCTATTTAATCTCTAAAATGTACATAATAATTAGTGTACATTGAATTGACAAAACAAACAATACCTAGTTCATTCTTGTAAGTTGTACTTGATGAAATTTCATTTCATATTATTTATTAATAATTCAAAGCAAAAAAGGCTTATTACATCTGAATTGTCAAAAAATGACAGCTGTCAGAATTCCGTCGAATTAAAAATCGGACTATAGGTGGATAGTCTTCATACAAACGCTTCGTCAAGAGTGAGGAAAAAATCTTATGTCATTAGTGTCAATTTTGTTGGGGAGTGTAGACAGTGAAGGCGATTTTCCCGAAAGTAGGGAAATTTTTAATACGTTTTTAATTATTTTATAATTAACAAAAACAAAACGCATCATGTACTTACTTATTTATTGAATTCAAAGTACCTACCTAATAACAATAAGATAAATCGACTTAAAAGTCTCGATTTCATAAAAAAGAAAGTGTATTTGTACGGCGAACAATTGGGAAATAAATTTTCTTGTTACTGGTATCATTCCCGTATTTAATTTTTGAAAGCCAAATTCAAGCAAAATACGCGTCGAATTGTAGTACTTACTTATGAAATGTAACTCTTGTCACTTTCTTTCGTTTTTCTGATGTATTTTAGACACCCTTTCACAGCACAAACCGTTTTAATTAATTAAAATTCGTCGGACGTGTTTACCAATTTTTCACTTTGACAGTTCATGTGACGTTTACGGGTGAGCCGTGCCGGCTCCCTAAAAACTGCCTCACCTTTCGTGCACTGACTATCTATCTAGGTTTTATTAATCTAAGTAGGAAACGTTACCGTCGTATGACATTAACATTAACTATGAATAAATAACATTTTATTCACAATCTTTTCACACCAGGAATGAATGAATGAATGAAGTAACGCGTCAACGGTTTCCTAGAATGTAGAATGTGCAACAGCACTTACCATTTTGGCGAGCATAGTATCCATTTGAGGCTGGTGCGTGGCCGTCAGCAGCTGGCGGATGCGCGAGGCGTTGGCTACGCACTGCGCCATGCAGCGCTGCAGCGCGGCGGCCTGGCGCACCAGCGCGGCGCTGAGCGGCACGCCCTCGCCGCCGCCGCCGCCGCCGCCGCCGCCGCCGCCGCCGCCGCGCAGCACCGACTCCAGCACGTGCGCATGCTGCGACACGTAGTCCAGGCAGCGCCGCAGCTCCACCGCCTCGCGCCGCTGCCTCTCTGCAACCGTTATAGCTACGATAGCCTAGTGATGACTCGAGATCCGAGGAACGCGGGTTCGAATCCCACCGCCGCTCGTCTATTGTTTAGCTTACCACTGCAATATAAATTTCTAATAATCTTTTAAAAAAAATAAAATGGTAGGTGTGACATCCAGTCTGTGCTTAGTATGGTGCGGTCAGTTATGATGTCTGGATTCCAGTACAGTTTTGTAGTTGTTTTCCAGGACGTTTCAGGGTTTGTATTTATAGTAGGCGGTGTGTGTGTGTCGAGAAATTTGTATTTGAGATTATTATTAATTCTATTAAATCTTTCCTTGCACAAAGGCTTAGTATTGCCATTCAGCGAGGAAATGCAGCCAGCATCCTCACCTCTTTGCCTCACGGACACACTTTTATTTATGAGTAAAAAAGTTTATATTTTAATTTTGTTTATAGAGTTAAGTTTGCCTTAGTTTTAAACAAATTCTGTTTATTGTAAATAAAGTCTCAGCATTAAATAGTAAATAATAAATATCCTTGGACATTTTACATTGCGCCTCTACTGCCAAACTAAGCAAAGATTGCATGATTTAAATGACGATTTTTATTGCATGACTTTTTTAATAAAAATCATTGATTTATATCAATATCCGTGCTTTACAGTCAGTCTTGTACTTAGAATGAAATAAAATTTGAATTTTATTGGAATATAAAAATATAATACTTGTGTGTTAAAGACATAGTCCAGTAGAATTAGCTTTTAAATCGGAAATAATTCCTACAAAAGATTTGATTATTTTAATGGCTTCATTGGTTGCCCATTAAGACTCTCCTAAGTTTTCGACTTCGACGGAGTTGTGCTTAAGTGGTGGGGGCCCCCGAAAGAGGCATTTTTTCGGTTTTCCAGTTATACCGCGTAAAGGACTTACCCTATCAAAAAGTGTTCTTCATGACGGTTGAAGGGCACTTAATTTTGCATTGAGTAAGACCAAATTCATATGTTTTGGACAAACCGTTCTCGCGCTAATGTTCGGCAAAGTAGAAAATATACGTATAATTAATGACCCTCTCCACGTCCAATGGTTTGTTACCCACAGGCTTCCAACTCCGTCGAAGTCGAAAACTTAGGAGAGTCTTAATGGGCAACCAATGAAGCCATTAAAGCCATTAAATCTTTTGTAGGAATTATTTCCGATTTAATCAATTTTTGTGTTTAATTCTACTGGCCTAACATAACAAGTAGGTATAATTGGTTTATTAACTACGATAATAATAATACAAAAAGTAAGTAGGTAAGAACTTTTTAGAAAAAAAATAAGATTATCACTCTTATTTTACAGAAAAAATAAANAAGTCCAGGCCAGGAAATCTTTAACGTTTTACATAAATATATTGACTTGGCCATCGCATGAAAACACGTGTAAATTAAATTATTTAGGGCGATGGCCATGTTTTTGATGGGATTACTATATTACTGATACTGAACACAAATCCGTAAAAAAATAATGGCCGAAAAAAGTGATCGCCCCGGGTGCCAACCCATGCTACGCCGCCACTGCAGCACTGTGCGCAGAAGAGATAAGTGTAAACGCGTTAAATGAAAGGATTGTTTTAGTGAAACTGTGATACAAAACGTTTATGTGTTGCGAAAACTAAAGCGAAAAACCTACGCTTCGCCGTGCTAGACTGTGCCTTCATCAGAACGGAGGAGACTTTGAACACTTGCTTCGCAGTACGTAAACTTTGTAAGTAGAAACTTATAGTAAATAAATAATTAATTGTGAAAAAGGTGATTNTAAAATTGTTAAAGTCTTTACCTCTTTGAGTAACATTTTCACCCGTCTTGACAAAATCCGCCATAACTGTTTTTTTTAAGTGTTTCCTATTGTAAATTTTAAATCTACTGTACATTGATCTCGGAGCCATCTATTAGTAAATTCAAATCTAACTAGAGGGATTCAAAGTCAGCACCTGACAATATTATTCTTAAAGCGGGCAATCACTACCAGTGGGCAATCACTCTCTGGTTTACCCTACTTAGTTTTACTTTTGAGAGAATTTATCTAATTATTTGTAAACAATTATGTACTTAGTTCAAAATTCAAATAAATATGGGTCATTCCACAAAAATATGTCAACTCTTAGTCCGCGCCACATTTCACATGGAATATTTGTTAATATTTTATTCCAAAATTGTTAAATAACAGCTCGCAATGTGTTTTATTCATCACCCATTTATATTTTTAAAACTATTTTTAAAACATCTTAAATTCCTTTTAAATTACCCAAAACGTCATTCCCTAGGCATGTCCGTACTCCAAAAGTTTGTGTTTTAGAACCCAAAATCAAAATCAAAATCAAAATTATCTTTATTTGTTTAGACTAATTAAATTAGTTCTTGCAAATCGTCAAATGCTCTTAAGGAGCCTATACATGTCTCATTCTTTTTTTGCCCTACCAGCGCTTCGAGACAAACATTTGGCAAGTGCTGAGAAGAAGCGCCGCAACAAACTCAGTCACCACTGTCTGCCGGTTTAAAAATATAAAAAAGTAGGAAGTTACATACATTCAGAAGCAAGTTACTTACCACGCGCTCCCGTTGATAGAAGGTGGCCTTTAAGACGCCCATCTAGCACGAGACCGCGTGGCAGTTTTGAATATATTTCTTTAGTGCCGTGCTAATTTCTAGGTTAATTGTTGCGTTTTGATACATATATTTTATGTCAGGTATATCTTTCCTTGACCAGTCCCCGAAGGCAGCGCCTGTTCACAGACATGACGTGTGAACCAGCCATCGCTTCACTCGACCATATTATAGGGAATGTAGCGACCCGCCTCACACGCCACTACCCCAAAGACATTTTAGTGAGCATGACAAGTCCAAGATACCCTTCTGACTAAGTGCCAGATATAAAACTATTTAGTAGACAAGGTATGAAAACTCCAGACAGAAAAGCAAGGCACCATAATATAATAGAAAGAGATGGCAACTAATGTATCTATACAATTAATTAGGTACATTGTGAGAGCCTGAGAGACTTATTTCCAAGGTAATTTATCATTAAGGTAATCATTTGTAGTGTAATAAGCTTTTTTTAGTAAGTGTTCTTTAACTATACTTTTAAATTTATTAATGGGTAGTTTTTTATAGTCTTCAGGAACTTTGTTATAATAGTGAATACTCTGTCCCATAAAAGTACCATATACTTTTTGAAGTCTAAGATTAGGTATAGCTAATTTATTTTTGTTTCTCGTGTTAAAGTTGTGAACGTCGCTATTTTTCAAGTATTTATTTATATTTTGGTGAACAAATATAATACAATTTAAGATGTATTGTGAGGCGGCCGTGAGAATACCAATTTCTTTAAACTTCTCCCTGAGGGATGCTCTTGGTTTCAATTTATAAACCCATACCCATATTTATAGAAACATCAACTTGATCCTTTGTTTTAATTAACGAATAATCTATTTAAGCGTATATTACACCAAATTCTATTAATATTTTGCGGTTTCAATAAACAATAATTTGATTTTCTTTAGTTGGAAAAGAGTCCACAGCTTTTAGCGTCATTCCCTCGCCACGCACTGATTTTATAATTTTGCGCTTTAATATGTATTTAGAGTTAATGACATTTAGTTGAGTTTAAAGTACGATACGAAGGTATCCTCATACCATACTGGCTTTGCGGCAGCCGTTTTTTGAATTAGTGCAAACGTGCCAGTTGTTGCGGAAACATGTGTTGATTCAGTCACTTCGTCAGTCCCTAGTTGAGTAGCTTTATTGATTACAATAGGAAATTGTATATAATTTAAATAGTATTTACGTGTGGTTTTTTGGCTATTTTCGGTACATCGTATTAAGAATCTTATAATATAAAGTTAATATGCGTTTGTGTTAAGTTTTACTCCCAATCATCAGTCCCTAGACCATCAGGCCCTAGCTTTAAACGGCGCTAGGGACTAAGTTACTAATTAGGGAATGTCATTTTTTATAAAAGTCATATAGGAGTAATGTAGTATGAAAAAATTGTAAATTATTATTTCTCCTAAAATAAAGCATAAAGTGACTGGCCCTTTTAGACATAACATAATTAATTAATAAACTATAATTTACACTAATAAAGTATTCAAAAGCATCTAAAAAAAGTTTAGGACAAAATGACGTTGAAAATATACAGATTTTTATGGAATGACCCATATAAGTAAAACAAAGTCAGGTTTGTTTAAACCACTGGTTAACCTTTAAGTAATGAGGGACCATTTTACCAAATTTCTGTCTTGTCAGGGACCACCTCTTAATCATAATCAGTCAAAAGTAAACCAGTTTGACTGTAAAAATTAGTTAAAAGTGGTTTTGACCAAGGCGTGCAAGTGCACTTCGTGGACTTGGAATGCCTCCAGGGACCACCGGTTAAGAACCACTGGTTTAAACACTTAGAACCCAAACCTGGCTAGACCGATATTCATGGTTTTTGATTTGATGTATTTGTCTCCATCTCAAATAGCAGAACTACTACAACTACTAAAAATTGGAATTGATGAAAAAATAAAAGAAAAGCATTTTCCCATAGTGTAGGTACGAAATGTTCATGGATTTCGTAATTTATGTTAAATATCTAACTACATTATCAGCGGCGGGGGCGCGGAGCGGGCCAACAGGTTTTTAGATTCAAATTGAATCGGACCCACTTCCACATCAATAAAAAAAATATATACCTTGTAGGTACTTTTAGAATCATCTATAAAATAATTATTAAACGTCTAAGGTATAATAAAATTCGTAACATTATTGTTTAAATAAAACTCACCATGAAAATCATAAATTCTTTGAGTCCTCCTCAAGTACTTCTCTTCTTGAACTTGCCGATCAGCTTGTGCTTGTTTCTCTCGTGCTTCTAGAACCTCGAGAAACGAGGAAAATAACGATTTTCTTTCGCTTGTATTTGTAACGGTTTCTTGCATTTTAATGACAGAAAATTTGGACGAGATCAAAAGAAAATTAAAAACGTAAAGTTTTGACGATCTTAATTTAAAAGAAGAGAGACGGTTTCGCTTAACAAATAAAAGTAGTAATCTAGCAGAATCAGGATAATTATTCGGCGAAATTAATTTCAAAAGCGCACAGGCAACCACCTATTACCCTCGCTCGGAATACTTTACTAACTGTCAGCACGGGGTGGAAACGCCATAGAGTTTGACAGCTCCATAGAGAGTGAATTTTTTTGACAGTTCCGAGAGGAAGTGACTTTTTTTATAGTTGTCTTCTGTATGCGACAGTGGTCTTTTGCATGTTAGAAACCTTAGAAACCTTTTCGAATTACAACTTCAGCTTTTATTCATAAATTATTTTATTGAATCTATGTGATTTCTATAAATTAAATGGTTATTTAAAAGTATAATAATTCAAAGTCGTAATTTTCACTTTAATCACTTTAGTTCCGTCTCAAGTCTACAACTGTGACATTATTAAAAAAAAATAAACGTCAAAAATTTTTCATCGAAAAAACGTGTTTTTCTACGATTTTTAATTGTTTCTAATTGAAATCAATAATTTCTCAGTCATTATTAATAAGAACTACATGTGNCATACAAATGTCAATCCGTGAGTACATAATGTAAAAACTAAAACAATGTACTGTTATCACAACAGTAACTGTAATCTTTTAAAATCCAGTAGTTTTATTGCTTATTGATTTTCGTAGACAAAATATTTCATGTTATATTTCATCAATAAAGTTTTATTTTATACTTCAATAGTTTTATTTTTAAACACATTACATGAAACGGAACGGATCATAAAAAAAGTATGAGAGGTATATATTTAATCTGTGGGCGGCAGACGCCATATTGTTTACAGCGCCACCTACTGGACAATCTAGCTCGGTACCAGTTTGTTTATCGTTCAACAAATACTAGGGCCGTTTCCTATCTGTCTTTAGACATACTCTCTAATCTGTGACTGTCAGTCAGTGACCCTGACTACTCGGTCGTTGGGTTGTGCTGTCAGTGTCAGTTGACTGTCATCCATCAGTGACATTTAAACTATGGACCGACTAAAACTAAATGTGCTGCTCGGTACCAAATTACCAAACATGAAGCTAAAGATAAAATGGAGGCCACACACTTCGAATTCCTACTTGAAGCACAACCTATGTATCACTATCTCGCTCTCTGTGGGCAGACTCTCTCTTTCTAAATAAACAAAAAATTAAATTTGCTCAAAGTCAATGAAACTAAATGTAAAATCTTTATTTGTTGACATAGGTATCATGAAAAATAATAAGTGTAAATACTGGTATAGCCTGACCAGGAACATAAAAACCTTGGCATAGAGGCGCGTCAGTTGCATGTGATAGTGCAACACTGAGTACAGTCGTACCTGTGTTAAATTAATAGACTAACTTTATGTATCAGGATTCAGAATTACGGGCTATTTTGTTATTTTCATAAATTAACGAATAAATATTATTATAGGTAACCTGGTTTAAATAAATTACATAAATGAAACCATCAATCGAGCTAGTACGATTTATTTTATTATTCATCAATAATCAAATTCAGAACTTGAATATTCAACTGCAATGTCTGCTCATGAACGCTTCAAACTCGGTACTTCTTTCCCAATTCCATAAAATTCAACACTTAGAAAGTGACAAAAATCTTTAAAATAGGTAAGTAGTTGAAACAAACCACAGCTAATTTTCATAGTGGACTGTACTATACGATAAACATGTCAGTCAATTTGACAACCTTTGTCGGAAACATTATTCAATGAAAATATTGTCCGAACCCTTAGTATTTCTCTTCGACAAATACTTTGACACAATGCAAACCACTTTTCTTTCACGACTATAAAAAGATTTTAGCAATTTAATTCACAAAATCAATTGCGCACATTTAAAATAAAGTTTGTTTACACTTTGACAGCAATAGACTGACATGCAAGGTGACATGTCAATGAAGTTTTCAGTTACTGTTGCCATTAAAAGAAATTAGTACCATTAGTTTTCCGCAACATGGCGAGGGTTTTTATGTTCCTGGTCAGGCTATAAAACGTTTTAGGAAGAAATTACTGTGAAAAATGTTTACAATGATCCAATGTCGCAAATCACGAAATAAACACTTACGCGTGGAATCTTAAGTCAATTCTGAGCCACCACGTACTACCGCAACCACGTACTACAAAATTTTGCACCATTTCTTGTGATAAAACAATGATTAAGTCCTGTAAAAATCTCAAACGAAATTAACTGCAGTTAATTTTGTTTACTATGCATAGTAAACAAAATAGTAAACAACCGCCATGATGGGCTGGATTGTTACGTGCTCTGTGCTGGATTGGGCCGATGTTGCCAAATGGTACCGATTCCTCAGGAATTGGGATTGTAATTCCCTGATTCGCCAACACATTAAGCCTAAACGGCCGACAATTTTGTGATTTTTAATTTAACTAGGTAATCGTAGTTCAAATATTTAATTATTTATTTGTTTAACTTCTGATTTGGTTAGTGAATTGGCTATTTCGAAGAATTTACTAGGAGATTTAAATAAGGAGATAGCAATACTACAGTCCACACTAAAAAGAGAGGTCGGCCCACAGAGAGCGAGATAGAGATAAGTAGGTATTTGACTCAAGTTTTTGTTCCATTCCAAGTGTGGCCTCCATTTTTATCTCTAGCTTCATGGTACCAAAACACGATTTGAAAAAGGAACATGGTCGTAATATAGGCGTATAGGCAATCAGTGAGCTTTTTTTTATAGACAAGTGGCAGTTTTTGATCGAATCGGAAATCGAATTATCAAAATCGAAACTCCGTACAAAAACAAATCAAAGAGTCTTTTTTTGCCATTCCAGCACAGATTATCTGTGCATTCCAGACAATTTTTTTTCTTAAATCTCATTAAAGTTTTGGTGATCGTGATCATCGAGATGTAGTATAGTGTAAACTTGCACTTCAGTTATAAAAGTTTTTTTTTTATAGTTTCGGTGTGAAGGCTCGCGCTTCGTCTCAATCAATTTTCTGAGTGTACTTGCGCCATAACACTGTTTTATACACTTTTAATCTGTGGAAATGACAAGCTTGATTTTCGTCTGGGAACGAACGACCGACCGTCAATTTGTCAAGCAAGCCGCAAGCGTCTGTCAACCCAGTTTTTCTTTCAGTTTTCCGAGTTAGTTATAAGATTTAACTAATAATACGCATTTTTTGCCATTATATATTCATAATGGCACGGGAAAGCAGTGCAGGATTTGATAGACATATTACCATCTTTTCTCCTGAAGGAAGGCTTTATCAAGTTGGTAAGTTCTGCAAGTTGTTTTTGTGGTTAAACTCAGTTCAATTCAATGCAATACATCAGTAAGGCTTTCAGTTGTGTAAAAAATACCAAGCTATATTGTTTTGGCTTTCGATCAACTCAGATGGATCTATACGTATATAAATGATTGAAGTAATATTAAGGTTAGAGGCAAAAGTTGTAATGTCATCCTCAGTGTTAGTGTATGAATTCGATTCGCAGAGTACGCACTGAAGGCCATCAACCAGGGCGGGCTGACGTCGGTGGCGCTGCGCGGCGCGGACGCGGCCGTGGTGGCGGCGCAGCGCAAGGTGCCGGACCGGCTGCTGGACGCCGCGTCCGTCACGCACCTGTTCCGCCTCACCAGCCGCATCGGCTGCGTCATGACCGGCATGATAGGTCTCCATTTCCTACTGTTGTTAATCCTAATCATTAGGGATGTACTCATTCCGATACAACCCATTAAACGGTTCAAAGTCAGTAGTGTTTGTTTCGCGCTTAATGTTTTACATTTCGTCACTGCAATTCATATTTTTCACTTAAGACTACCTAAGAAATTTTAGTTTCTGATTATACATTTCTTCATTAATTATTCTGGTTAGCTGGAAGAGAATGCCACTCGGCATTAAGCTCGCCTGTTGTACCATTGTTTATTATGTGTGCAATAAAGATTTTAAATAAATAAATACATACAGGGTGTTTGGCTTCCGCCAAGGAAGGTTAGACAAACTTCGTGGGTGTATAGATAAGGTCATTTTAAAAATACAAGTTCGTCCATTTGACCCTATGTGAGCTACTTTTTTTTAATTGATATTTTTGTTTTTATTTATTTATTTCCGAAATTTAACCTGAAAACTGCTTAAATTTTTTCTCTCTCATGTTTTCAACTGTTTTTTTTATTTAATATTAATCTCAAATATGTGTTTAGTCAAATAAAATAAATTTCAGATCCAGATAAGGATTGGATAGCTAGTTACGAGCTGTCAAAGTTTAACAAAAGTATAAACCACGATAAAAATTTCAACTCTTGCTATTGCTATTGATTGCCAATGATTTTAAAAACATCTCTAGCTTCTCTTCTTTCCAATGAAATATCACAAGTTGTATTTAGAAATTGAAATTCGTCAAAAAATCTAAATTTAGGGAAGAAAATCCCAACTAATATTATAAATGCGAAAGTAACTCTGTCTGTCTGTCTGTCTGTCTGTCTGTCTGTCTGTCTGTCTGTCTGTTACGCTTTCCCGCTTAAACCTCGCAACCGATTTTGATGAAATTTGGCATAGAGATAGTTTGAGTCCCGGGAAAGAACATAGGATAGTTTTTATCCCGGTTTTTGAAACAGGGACGCGCGCGATAAAGTTTTTCTGTGACAGACAAAATTCCACGCGGGCGAAGCCGCGGGCGGAAAGCTAGTGGAATAATAATACAAAAATTATCCATACAAAGTTTCTTCAAACATATTTAAATTTTTTGCTACACTCCTTTTAATCACCACTTTATTTATTTTTTATTTATCACTGCACACTTCTCAAAGTTGATTCTGTATACATTTTGATTTATTATCTACTAAACCTTGAATATCACCAATAAAATTATTGGTATTGTATTGGCAAAATTATGTATTGTTACATCCCTAATCCTAATGTTTAATTAATTACTTCTTTAATCTAAACTAAAAGTAGTTTTTTAAAATTATACTATAGCATCCATATTATTATTTTTCAGCGGACAGTAGATCTCAAGTTCAAAGGGCTCGATATGAAGCTGCCAATTGGCAATACAAATATGGCACAGAGATTCCGGTTCATATACTGTGTCGTCGTATTGCTGATATCTCCCAAGTCTACACACAAAATGCTGAAATGCGACCTCTTGGATGCAGTAAGTTTATCAATATGATTGTGAACTTAATCCATGTTGAAGTAAAACATAATGATAGCTAGTTTGATTAATGTAAAACTAGCAGCCCGCTCTGGCTTTGCTTGGGTACATTTGTATAGGTATTTAACAAAAAATACAAAATCCTTGAACATTTTGAATGGGAAAATGTTTTTTCTTTTATTTATTTTTTCGTCAATTTTCCGGTTTTTAATAGTTATTCTGGTCGGAGACAAGTACAACAAATCAAAAAGCCATGAAAATCGGTACAGCCATTCTCAAGTTATAAATTTTTGATAAAACCAAATTTTTTTTATTTATATTATGACGTAGGATTTAGTTTATTGGCCAATTTCTGATGTAACATAAAAGTGACAAACTGATTATCATACAGGTGAAGCTGCCGACAAATACTAGTAGATCGTAAATGGAACTGTTGTTCTCGGCAGGTATGATGCTGATCGCATACGACGACGAGTCCGGCCCCTGCGTGTACAAGACGGACCCGTCGGGCTACTACTGCTCGTACAAAGCTGTGGCTGCCGGGGCAAAGACCACGGATGCTAATGCTTATCTTGAGAAAAAGGTATTTATTGTTAAAAACGAAAGTTTTATTAGATCCTATAAGATTAGAAGAATTAGGTAGTAGTCGTTTTTACTACTGATTTAGGGCTGATTTTTCAATCGTCGGCTAACTTTTAACTGAAGAATAAGTTTGACACATTGACAGTTTCAACAATATATTAAAGTGACAAGTTTATTCTTCAGTAAAAGCTAACTGACGATAGAAAAATCAGCCCTTAGTTAATAACAGCTATAATAACAACACCAACTAATGATCAAATCAAAGAACAATGGGACATTTTGTATGAACTACTACTCCCCAGAAATGTAGCACTTTAATACCTACCCTATATGATAGTACATGCTAATACTAATAAAATCACTACAGCCAATAGGGGCAGAGCAGTAAAGAAAAACGTTGCAAAAACAAGTAATATTATTGAAACAATTTTCACGCGTATGAAGTCGTGGGCACAGCTAGTGAACCATATAAAGTTGATCCACGAGCTGTGAGCACTTGTTGCAGCTGAAGAAGCGCGGCGAGCTGGCGGCCGCCGACGCCGTGCAGCTGGCCATCGCCTGCCTCAGCCAGGTGCTGTCCGTGGACTTCAAGGCGTCCGAGGTCGAGGTCGGCATCGTCACCAAGGACAACCCCGACTTCCAGTGAGTGCCGCGACCGTGTTATATTCCGTACCTCGGAAGGAAAGAACGGAACTCTTATGGTGCGTCCACACTGGGCGAATTGGTTCGCGCGGCAAACTCGAAATAATCGAGTGAAATCACTTACGTAGAATTTTGTCCAATGATCCCAAGCTACCCATCCTTATCGCTCGCGCGTAATTATATTGCTGTCGCGACTGTGCGACGCGCGCCCGCAGTGAGTGTGCGAGCGCGACAGCAACATGCTCATGAACACGTAGAGGTATTAAATTGAAATTCATATCAAATACTAAGGTCTATAGTACCTTTAAGCTGTAACAAAATTTAAGTTATATACCTATAGGTTTGTACGGAACCCTTGGTGCGCGAGTCCGACTCGCACTTGACCGGTTTTTATTGTACCAAGTCAGTATGGAAACGCATCGCCCGCCTCGAGTTTATTTATGGAGTAGAAACATTAGACGAATTATCGGATAGGGTCGTTTTCGTATTTATAATATTGTTATGTGATTCAATAAATGTCTTTTACTTTTCCAGCATGCTCACCGAGAGTGAAATCGACAGGCACCTCACTGCCCTCGCTGAAAAGGATTAGGTGAATGAACAACAAAAAATTGCTTGTATCTTTTTTTTAAATAAAGTATCTATGATAAAAAAACAACTATAATTTATTTCCAATTACGAAAACCACTTTAATATTATCTGCATTACAAAAACTCATAAGTCAAATTAAGGGTCGCATTCAAAAGTCTGATTCGATCAACATGCCCTCGGCCCCTCGCGTGACATCCTCGACGATATCACGGGGCATTTCCGTCACGACACTCGAGAAGTCGCCGAGACTGCAGCAAAACACGAGTCCGTATAAGGGAGTCTCGTAGTTGCGATTCCTGCGCAGCTCGCGGAGCCACGGCACCCGCGCGCACGCGCTCTCGCAGAACACCGCCTCGCGGATCTCGCTCACCGCCACGAAGGGGTCGTTGAGCACCGCCAGCGCCAGCCCGCGGCGCCGCGCGGCGTCCAGCACCGCCGTCCACACGTAGCGCGGCGCCGGGAAGCGGCCGGCGCCCAGCCACACCGCCCGCCGCCCGCCGCCCGCGCGCAGCGACGCCACGCCGTGCGTGCCCGCCACCACGCGCAGCGCCCGCGGCCGCGCCGTCCGCAGCAGCGCCGCCACGTCGCGCTGCAGCGCCCGCAGGTTGCCCTCGGCCACGCTGCGCCACACGCCCACCTTGTTGGACGCGAGGGCCGCCACGCGCGCGCTCTGCTCGTCGAAGTACAGGCCGCTCAGCAGCTCGGCGGCCGCCAGCTCCTGGTGCGCGAACGCGACGCCGTCGGGCTCGAACAGCGCGCGCAGGCGGCGGTTGAGGCGCGCCGCGTCGGCGTACAGGCGCTCGGCGTCGAGGCGCGTGCGCGCGTCGAACAGGTGGTTGAAGTTGCCGAGCAGGCTGAGCGGCGCGGCGGCGTCGGCCGGCACCGGCGCCGGCCGGGCGTTGGAGGCGCGCGCGTGCAGCGCCACGCCGCGGTCGGCGTCGAAGCACACCGTGGCCAGCCGCCGCACGCCGCGCGCGCCGTCCTGCACCTGGTACGCGCGCCCCTGCGACGGCGGCGCGCAGTGTTCCACCTGAACGGAGATCGCACACATGGAGATTGTGAACGAAACGCACGCTTTGTCGTCCAGTAATTTCATAAAATATAGTTCCCGGCCTTCCGACCGTTCGTCCCGGTCGGCGCGTTCACCTGGTGCAGCACGTCCTCGAACACGCTCTCCTGGCAGCCCAGCTCCAGCAGGTGGCGCAGCGCGCGGTCGTGGCGCACGCGCAGCCGGCCGGCCTCGCACGCGGCCGCCAGCGCGCCGTGCAGCGGGTAGGCCGCGAACTTGCCGCGCGCGCCGCACGACAGCGCCAGCTCGTCGCCGCTGGCCGCCACCAGCGAGCCGTTGGCCGCGCGGTGCGACGTCACCAGCGGCATGTTGTCCGGGATGCACTCCTCACACTGCAGGTCTATTATGCATGGCGCTGGAACAGGGGACACGACAGCGTTCAACCTTCGAAGCGGTACACGACACCTCAGAGTAGATTGGCAGACACCAAAAATGCCACAACGTGATCATCGGAGTATTGATACTTTAAGAGTGCTAATTTCGAAGTCGCGTAGAAGTATTATGATTTACAACGATTGCAATAGACAAAAAATAATAGATAAGTACTCACGATCAGTGGTGACCGCTAACTTAACCCAGGACACAACAATAATAAGTCGACACACGAGAACAAACATGGCGAGAATGATGATAACACTTCATCGCGGGCGACACTGGGGCGGGCTGCGAGCGCGCCGTGTCCCGCTGACTCCGCCTGACCCGAGATAAAACCGACAACGTCGCGCTCAACAAGGAATAACAACTCATTATTATGTATAGTCTAATGAACATCGCTCAGGCAAGTACCGCATTAGTTAATTTTCCGGTCAAAATAAAAGGCAGTTATTTACGACAATAGTTTAATATGAACATAATATACAATGCCGATGTGTTTATTTATTTATAAAAGCAGGTAAAAAACGACGGCACACGCCGTACGTTAAAATAGTATTTCTGTTAATTCCATTTATCAAAGTTATTATTAGAGTACACCGTAAATTAATCTAAATGAAGGATACAGGGATCAAGGTTATGTCAGCATACTTTTAATATTGAATTGAGAAATATAACCCTAAACACTACCAACCAAAATAAATTTTGACTTAAGTCTACTACACCAATATAATAGAATGGGTAAATGCTGGTTGGGGGGCTTTCTATTGCTTCGCAGATATGTCACTGTTCACCGCCAGCCACCAAGTAAGCTTATACATACCCCGCACAAGGTTGAATATAAAACAGTACATATGATGCGAGTAAATAAACTATTTATCGACTAATAAAAAAAATCTGAATAAAGTTAAGGAAAAGTTAAAGAGTAATCGAGCCTGCACGCGACAGCCGTAGTGTCGTTGCGCTTGCGTAAGTAGCAATAGAATAATAATGTAAGTAAATAAATGAATTAACACTAACAATAAGTAAAAAACACATTTGCCTCTCATTTAAGTATGAAAATTGGTGTTTTTTCTGAACTGCATCAAGTATAGGTACATACATACATTGAATCTCAATAGTTTTACTTTAAAAGTTTACTTAAATCCTTTTCACCACGATACTAACTTGAAAAGTTTTTATACAGAAGACCCATTAAGTAATTAAACACTAATGACTCGACATTCAGATGAAACACGCCACAAATTCGGCGATCGATCAGACGCTCCCGCGTCCCGGAACGTTCTCCTTTAAAATATGAACGTTCGCGGGGACCTAAAGCGATTTTCGCGTGTCGGGCGGCGCGAGTTAGGAGCAGCAGGCGCGCGCGGGCGGCGCGCGCGAGGGCCGGCGCTCCACGGCGATGCGCGCGTGGTCGGCGTCGGCCTCGCGCCCCGCCGTCTTGTCCAGGATCGCCTCCGCCAGCTCCGAGAAGGCGCGGTCGATGTTGATGTTCGCCTTCGCCGACGTTTCCATGAACCGGATGCCGTGCTCGCGCGCTATCTGTTGGCGACGAGAGGCGGGATCGCTTTAAGATAATGTATGTTGCCGTTTCCAAAATACTAAACATTCGAATTTCAATTTGCACAACGTTGGTAGGGAAAAGGGGCGCAGTGTAGATATTAAGGCGACTTTATAGGCAGATATCACTGGGGAGGTCTCTGTTAGCCGTAAAATAAGACGCATGAAGCAATAAATGGTTATTACATTAAAATACGCCAGGTCGCCAGGCTCAAGTGACTCATTCAAAACTTAATGAAATGTGATTGTTAATTCAAAACATTTCTCTACTTCGCCTTGGTGGATAATTTTTCATGAATATAAAGAATATTTTGGGTGGTCACTTGGGCCTGGACGACAATGTAAAACAAATGGTGATAATGTCATCCTATTTCTAGTCAATAAATAAGCGATTGTATGTATTTTATGTATAGACCGCATCTTATTTAGTGGTAACAGGTGCTATTCTGTATAGCCTGAAGTGCTGTTGTCTTTACACAGATTTTGATTGATAAGACTGGATAAAACAAAAGTAAGTGTGTGTTTAAGACCTGACAAGAAAAATATCTAAATCAAGAGATAGAAAACTAAGTGTTGTGATTGGAAGTGACTTTGGCTTGTGTCAAGATACTATTGCTTACTCACCGCCTCACCACGGTCCTTACTGACCACACGTTTTTCCTCCATGTCACACTTGTTACCCAGTATCATCTTTTCTACATCTTCATTAGCATGCTGCCAAAAAAGACAATAAATTTTTATTTAGGTGTTTTAAAGATTCTAAATCTGCATCTTGCAGTCTACACAGCTTATGACCGCAGTGTTTGGAGGAACACTATAGACAAGTTGTGATACCAACAAACTGACCTCGTCAATGTTCCGGAGCCACTTGACGATGTCGTCGAAGGTCTTCTCGTTAGTGATGTCGTACACGAGCATGATGCCCATGGCGCCGCGGTAGTACGACGTGGTGATGGTGTGGAACCGCTCCTGCCCGGCTGTGTCCCAGATTTGGAGCTTTATTTTCTTGCCACGCAGTTCTACTGTCTTTATTTTGAAGTCAATACCTGTAAAAACAAACATAGATTAGTGCACTACCCTACCGCCTTTTATGGTAAACATCCTGACGTCTGCACCGAGAAGACTAGAAACTTTTCCATAAATCTAATTTTCCAAAATCGCTCAGTGACCCAATGTTACGTTCCATCAAATCAGAAATGGAAAGCGGGCATTCAGTCACAAAACTAAATTCTATCACAAAAGGTGTTCCTTACCGATAGTAGATATAAAAGTTGTTGTAAAATGATTATCTGAAAATCTAAACAATATGCAAGTTTTGCCTACACCAGAGTCACCGATGAGGAGTAATTTAAATAACAAATCGTAAGTTTTCTTAGCCATTTCGTCGTAATTTACAATAGAAATGTAAAAAATGAGAATCCAAAATCATCCGACAGATGATGTACCACGGGGTGGAAACGCCATAGAGTTTGACAGCTCCATAGAGAGTGAATTTTTTTGACAGTTCCGAGAGGAAGTGACTTTTTTTATAGTTGTCTTCTGTATGCGACAGTGGTCTTTTGCATGTTAGAAACCTTAGAAACCTTTTCGAATTACAACTTCAGCTTTTATTCATAAATTATTTTATTGAATCTATGTGATTTCTATAAATTAAATGGTTATTTAAAAGTATAATAATTCAAAGTCGTAATTTTCACTTTAATCACTTTAGTTCCGTCTCAAGTCTACAACTGTGACATTATTAAAAAAAAATAAACGTCAAAAATTTTTCATCGAAAAAACGTGTTTTTCTACGATTTTTAATTGTTTCTAATTGAAATCAATAATTTCTCAGTCATTATTAATAAGAACTACATGTGCATGGATTGCCTGTTGGATTGATGTTTGTTTACGAAAAAAATTCTCTCAAGTAAGTTAACAAGTAAGTTATTTCACTCGAGATAGGTTATTACTTGCAGCAACATCATGTTTTAAGTATTGAACCACACAAAGGATTAAATCTTCATTACAAAATCATTCATAACTCCATTTAAATCAATGGAAACCAAATATGGATAGTTTCATGGAGTAACAACATACTTTGGATTTTGGACATAAAATACAATACAAGTAGGTACATTGCAGGCATAGATTGCAGGATACAGTGAATGATACGTGTTTTATACAATGAATCTAAGTACCTATTTGTTTCAGGTTAATATCGAACTTCGAACTTATAAAGTGTTAAGCAGCAATTACAATAAAAGTGCTTGCTGTGGAATCACTGGTGCTGCTCATTATTGTCAACTGTTACTTAAAAAGGTCCAGATGAACCAACATATTCAATGAAGTTTAAAAGTTTCAACAAAATCCGTTTATTAGTTTTTGCGTGAAAGAGGAACAAACATCCAGACATCCAGACAAAAAGGTTACAGTGAGCCAACCATAAAAGATAGACATACTCGTATGCTGTCGCGGAAGTTTTTGTAGAACTTTTAAAGGGGAAAATCCTATCATACATAATTTATGCGAAACTTTAACCGTTTACGCAGCGTCAGCTCTCAAACGGAAAAAAATCACTGATTTGAAACATTCTTCATTGGTGCTCCGCTCCTAGTGGTCTTAGCGTGATAATATATAGCCTAAAGCCTTCAGGGATTAACGGACTATCCAACACAAAAAGAATTTTTCAAATTGGTCCTGTAGTTCCTGAGATTAGCGCGTTCAACCAAATAAACAAACTGTGATTAATAAATTGCGCCACTACAAACCGTACCAACAGATGGCGCTGTTACGATCTTACTATGGCAAACTCCACCGCGCATACAATCCTGCATCGCGGTGACGAAGTTTTTTACCCTGCCCAGTATATATAGACAAACCAAGGTTATGCAAATCAGATGCACTAACACCTTTGCTCTTTATGGTGGTAGAGCGTCTTATTCCACAACTTCAGCTTTATAATATTAGTATAGAGTATAGATTCGGTAAGTACCTATAAAATTGAAAAGACCCTCAAAATCATTCTTACCCGTATCTTCTGACGCTTTTCATTTAGGATCTAACAGAAAGACCTAAAAGTTAATTATTTGATTACAGATTGGTGGAATCCAGATTCTGTGAATATATATTAAGTAATTGATTGACAAGTACACATTTGACAAGGTAAATTAATTTTCATTTAACAAAGTAGTATGAATCTAGAAACAAAACAGACAATAGGCATGGTAGATAGACAGATCAATCATTTGTTTATATGCTGTACTCTTAAAATATTAGTGTAGAATGTAGATGTAGAAGATTACAGACTTACGGTGACTTTTTGCTCTAAATATTTCATATATTTTACAGGTGGTGAGAAACATGTAGATCTGGCCTGCTTACAGTGGAGTGGACAGAACCAACGTGAGAGTGAACGTGTGAATTTATGGAGAACATTAAACTATTTTACTATAACATATTTTATATGAATCACATACAAATGTCAATCCGTGAGTACATAATGTAAAAACTAAAACAATGTACTGTTATCACAACAGTAACTGTAATCTTTTAAAATCCAGTAGTTTTATTGCTTATTGATTTTCGTAAACAAAATATTTCATGTTATATTTCATCAATAAAGTTTTATTTTATACTTCAATAGTTTTATTTTTAAACACATTACATGAAACGGAACGGATCATAAAAAAAGTATGAGAGGTATATATTTAATCTGTGGGCGGCAGACGCCATATTGTTTACAGCGCCACCTACTGGACAATCTAGCTCGGTACCAGTTTGTTTATCGTTCAACAAATACTAGGGCCGTTTCCTATCTGTCTTTAGACATACTCTCTAATCTGTGTTAGGAAGATTTGTGTTGGATGAATTACCCAGATAACAATTAAAACAACTTCTATTTATAAGAACATTCGGTAAGTACCTATAAAATTGAAAAGACCCTCAAAATCATTCTTACCCGTATCTTCTGACGCTTTTCATCTAGGATCTAATAGAAAGACCTAAAAGTTAATTATTTGATTACAGATTGGTGGAATCCAGATTCTGTGAATATATATTAAGTAATTGATTGACAAGTACACATTTGACAAGGTAAATTAATTTTCATTTAACAAAGTAGTATGAATCTAGAAACAAAACAGACAGTAGGCATGGTAGATAGATAGATCGATCACTTGTTTATATGCTGTACTCTTTATAATATTAGTGTAGAATGTAGATGTAGAAGATTACAGACTTACGGTGACTTTTTGCTCTAAATATTTCATATATTTTACAGGTGGTGAGAAACATGTAGATCTGGCCTGCTTACAGTGGAGTGGACAGAACCAACGTGAGAGTGAACGTGTGAATTTATGGAGAACATTAAACTATTTTACTATAACATATTTTATATGAGTTACATACAAATGTCAATCCGTGAGTACATAATGTAAAAACTAAAACAATGTACTGTTATCACAACAGTAACTGTAATCTTTTAAAATCCAGTAGTTTTATTGCTTATTGATTTTCGTAAACAAAATATTTCATGTTATATTTCATCAATAAAGTTTTATTTTATACTTCAATAGTTTTATTTTTAAACACATTACATGAAACGGAACGGATCATAAAAAAAGTATGAGAGGTATATATTTAATCTGTGGGCGGCAGACGCCATATTGTTTACAGCGCCACCTACTGGACAATCTAGCTCGGTACCAGTTTGTTTATCGTTCAACAAATACTAGGGCCGTTTCCTATCTGTCTTTAGACATACTCTCTAATCTGTGTGATGTACGACGAACCAAAATATGACAACGACAAGCACACAGATATGGATTAGAGGACAAGCATGACAAGTTCTTTTTTCATTCATTCATTCGATTTTCCATGACATCAATGTTACCAGAGTTTAAAAATATAATAATGCAATGGTTAAAGTCCAGCGAAGCGACTGAAACGTAAAATTAACCAATATTGATAGTAGCGCCCTCCTGTAATAAATGTCACTCTTATTGTTATTTGAAAGCTTACTGTTATTTGAACTAAAACCCAATTATGACGAAAAACGACACTGAAAAAGTATAAACAAGATTTTCAGAATACTGAACTGAACAAAGTTGCTAATGTAGTTGCATAGACAGTAATTTTCATGTTTGGAAAACCGGTCACACGTTGTCAAAGTGCTACGGTAGGTAGGTATATGTAACGTGTGACTAGTGTGACTACGCCTACGCGTGTTCACATCTCGGGTTCACATTAACTTGACTTGGCTAATTCCCGCGCAGTGTAAAAGCAGCATCAGTTTTTTCCGGTTTTTCGTTTTTTTACTTTGCTCTATGGTCAGTTTGCTGTCAGGTCCAGTCTGTCAGAGTCAGTTGTTGTCTTGTCTGTGGTTGTTGTACTTGTTGTTGTAGTATAATTTTTCATCGTGCTCTGTGATCTCGATTTTGTTTTGAAAATTATGAGGTTGCTTTACAATTTTACGTATATATGAGTATTGGCGTAAAGCCTACTTGCGGCTATGTATAGTAGCAATGAGTGCTGTGTTGCCGAGATGTAGAGTGAGCCCGGAACAATTGGATATTCTGTTGACCTTTATGGAAGAGCATCCCGACTTCGCAGCGGGCAAGCACTCGGTGTACTCCAGGTTCAGCTCGAGCAAGCTGTGGCGGTTGCTGGCGGAGCGGCTCAACGCTGCGGCTGCGGACTCCGGCGGAGCGCGAAAGTCGCCAGACAGGTGGTGCCGTGTAAGGATAAACACGTCCTACCGTATCAGTAAACAAAGTTCAGAGGATCCATACATACATTAATAAATTCTTAGTTTTGTTTTTTGGAGTTGTAATAGCAGTTGCGATACAGGCAATAGCTTAGTGCAGAAGTTGCTGCAAATGTCTGTTGTGAGATGTTGGAAATAAAAGGTTTTATTATTAGTTTTATGTACGGACTGTCAGTGTAAAAAAGAGAAAAGATAAATTTAAATTTGTCAACTTAATAAATATAAACAAGTTACTTTGTTTATCAGATTTGTGGAACTAAAAAAATGTTAGAATTTTTTTGCTTTATTGATAAACACTTCAATTTGAATTTCAGTACTGGGCAGATATTAAATACAAAGCTCGAAAGAAGTCTGCTGCTGGCGGAGCACTTGGAGAATTGTCTAGTGCAGAGGAGCGGCTGCAACATATACTCAATAGCTCCGGCAACAAAGATTGTGAGTACTGAGTAGGTACTAATTATTAGTACTTAAGTATTTGTAACCCAGTAAAAGTCATTATGTTAAATGTTCAATAAATACTGAATACTCATTAATTTAACTAATGGTTTTACTGGTTTTTTGTTTTAATTAATATTTACAAATGGTATTTTTTTGTTGTTATTGTATTGCATTGTAACACAAAACAAAAGAATACTTGTACAATTGACCTATGCTTTTGACTGTCAAATTCCGGAAGAGAATTTGCTTACTATGTTTCTGTGCAAATAAATGAATTTGAATTTACTACTTTGTTACATACTGACCGGTGCTTTCTCGTCATGTCGTTGTGGCTGTAGTGTTACAATTTTTCACAGTAGAAGACGGAAGAACTGAGTTGTGGGACTTATGCCCGTTTTCACCATCAATCCCTAATTTTTAAGTGACCCCTATGCAAACAAAATGCCTATTATGTGTTATCATAGGAGTCACTTAAAAATTTGGGATTGATGGTGAAAATGGGCATAAGTGTTTTGAAAGTTATGTTTTTGATGGCATACCTCCAATTCTTACTGCATGTACTTGTTGACTGCTGACATTTAATGTGCTGACTTATTTTTTTTCTATTGTATTCTAGGTGGTGGCGGTGGACGCGGTGCTAACTCAGACGACGACCGAAAACCGAATTTAGACGAGGACATGTGTTCAGAAGGATCTGCAGCGGGAATGACGTCTGACGGTCCCCGTATCGGTACCGAAGAACTCCTAGCGGAAGCTGCCATGAGAAGTGCTTTAGCAGCAGAGAAACAGGCCGAGGCCATGGCTCAAGCGGTAGACTTGCTGCGAGACCTGGTGTCCATCCTGCGCGAGCGCCCGCCCGCCCACATGGCCCAGCCCGCGCCGCCGCCGCCCTTGCAGCACCATCATCATCGTCTTTGATGTCTGCTAATCTGCATTAAGTATTTTGAAGACAGAAAACGTTGTAGTTGGTTATGTAGGCGAGACGTCCTTTTTCATTATTGCCTTATAGATACCTAGGACATAAGTAAATCAATTTGTTTGAAGTCCCAAACTGATATACATAAAGTTAATATACCTACATATACTTTGCGCACATACCCTCTGTGCTGCTTATAGCTGACTTACTCTGATTCGATAGTTAGGTCGTTGTAATGTTATTATTCTAAGTTCATATCGTTGTCAGACCACATTACATACTACTGTAGAAATAGATACCCTACATAAATAATTAATTTGCGACAATATTAGTTTTGTATCCAGGCTTATTTATAGTGAAAAAATATTACCTAGTTATGAAATGAAAATTTAGATTTCGATAGAAGACTATGTATCTATCATTACTTTTAAATAAACAAAAAAATACCAGTTTGTTATGATTTTATTGGCCCAAATACTTACATAGTGAGTTACCCCAGCAAACATTTTATTTCATTTCAGATTCTGTGGAGGGAAGTCGAACAGAGAGCCGGCCAAGTGCGAGTTGGACTCGCGCATGAAGGGTTCCGTACGAAAATTTTCGCATTTTTAAGTAGAATGTTGGGAAGCAAACAACGCGCGGGAGGAGACGTGCGGGTGGCGTGAATGACAGCACCTATTTTTATACAGTCCGCTATTTCATGTAATTACTAAAATTCGTTAGGATACTAACTATAGAATACTAGGTTTTGCCCGCGGCTTCACCCGCGTGAAATCGTTTATCACATCGTTTCGATCGTCATAAATTATAGTTATTCTGGGTTATAATATTATAAACAATAATAGGTACTGCAAAGTTTCATCAAAGTCCGTTCACTAGTTTTTGCGTGAAAGAGTAACAAACATCCAGACATCCAAACTTTCGCATTTATAATATTAGTAGGATGTTATTATTTTTATATTGTGTTACTGTATAAAATTAAATGTTTTTGTGTATGAAAATAAAGAATTTTGAAAATTAAAGTAAACGTTTAATAATAAGTAACAATAATATAAAAGCTACTAGAAAACCTAAACTTTAAATAACCTAATTATAAAAAAATATACATTTTGTTATTTTGGAATAGGTCCATTTATCACATTGACACAATTTAAAAAGATGAACTCATACAAAATTACATGCTTTGAAGGAACCCCGGCCCGTGACAAACGAGAACCGCCCCGAGCGTGCGCGCACCTGCGGGGTCGGGGCGGGGGGGGGGCGCGGCGCTGACTAGCTAGGCAGAAATAACACTGATCACCCGAAACGCTCGCGCGTGCTCTGCACGCGCTCGCGCTTTGGTTAGGTTCTTTTCAGAACCTAACCCATTTTCAGGATGGTCCCAGGAACCTAACTGCAATTTTTCAGGAATTTCAGACGTGGGTTTTCAGGAACCTAACGTGGGTTGAGTTGGGTTTTTTAAAGTTAGGTTCTTTTCAGAACCTAACCCATTTTCAGGATGGTCCCAGGAACCTAACTGCAATTTTTCAGGAATTTCAGACGTGGGTTTTCAGGAATATTCTGGTTGCGAAGAGCCTTCAGGACGTCCTCATCGCTGTTGAGCAACAGGACGTCCTTCAGGACCAGAAGCGGGTCTTTATTTTTCATGTCCTCCGCGACTAGGAGGCCCCCGTCCTCTATTCTGGCCTTTACCTTTCTCCTTTCTTCTTCTGTGCTACACCCCATGATGATCTTTTGGTCCTTTGCTTTCCGTATCCTGTCCACCTTGACCCATCCCTCCTTGGCGTTGACGGCGTCCCTGACCTTCCGCAGCACCTCCTCCCCTGTCTCCATCGCGTCCTTAGAAGTGACCACGATGGAGTGCAGGGCCGACCTAACAGGCAGGCGCTGCTGTCCGGGCACGGACGCCGCGACGCTGGCATAGGTAGGTAGACCACTATTAGCTTTCTGTTTTTCTGCCTCTTCCTTTATTTCGTCTAACTTTCTATTGTTTTCCAGCAGGAGTCTCCTGTTTTCTCTGATCTCAGCTAGTATTCTTTCTTCATCTACACTGCTTCCCTTCTCCCTTTCCGTTTCCTTCTCT